ATTCAGTTTTTTCAAATCAAAGTTACTAAGTAGTCAATTAGAATCTTGATTCTCGTGTAACAATAAGAACTTGTGGTTCGGACACGAGACAGTAACTTCAGTATAAACTACAGAAGTCACTGTGGGCGTGGATCTTTCCTGTCGTCCCACTGAAAACAGGGTGGGACAGGATGTATGTTGCACGTGTGTGTTTTGACGACTACGTCAATGAAAGGCCTGAATCCAGCTGTCTAACATCATGTCCGACCACGTGACCGAGATCTGAGCTTAATGCTGCGCAGCCCGGACTCCTCCACTCCCTCCTCCTCTGGTTCCCACCACTCTCCAGAGACCAGAACCATTTCCCACATTCCTCCACCACAGCTGCTCCGTGCTGCTTATCTCCGTGCCGTGGGTACGAGAGCGTCTCTATGATGTGTGTGTGTGTGTGTGTGTGTGTGTGCGTGTGCATGTGGGGGGGTGTGAGAGAGAGATCCAGCACCTTGAAGGTCATGATAAGGTGCGTGAAGTGAAACTCGGCCTCCAGGTCCAGCTGGATGGTCACATTCTCCACGCCTGCAGGTGAAGGGAAACAGGAAATCAATCATCGCTCTCTTTCTCTCTCTCTTTCTTTCCATTCATAAGAGTTCCGTAGTCGAGGTGAACCGACCCCAGATGGGATTCATCCCCACACACGTTAACATGTGCTCCACATTCACAGGCTCTCTGTGTTTGTTCAGTGAAGTCCGCTGGTTTTCTGTCAGACTCAGACTTCAGGCCTACATCGGGTTTTTTGCGCTGTGAATCGTTGCATGTGTAGTTTTACATACTTGCAGATGTGAGGAGCTAAATCTGATGAAACCAATGAAACTAATGTGTAAATTGGTTGCAAATCAAAAGCAATCTGCTGGCAAATGTCCCCGTGGTGGAACTAATGAAGGATACTTGTCATACTTGTCATACTTCTTTGCGATTATTTGATTAATTTTGTGGCATGGGAAAGTACCAGAAGCTTAAAATGAGATTCTGAAGCGATTTAGTCACAGAAACGAGGCACGAGGCTCTTATTTTGAAACATGAGACAGGAAGGACTTGTCGCGTGAGAAAAGATGATGATCCATATTTAACTATCCAGATTACACCTGATAATACTGAGTGTCACAAAATGATCAAAAGGGCAAATGGCACAAACACTCATCGAACGTGTGGCAGCACTCATCAGAAAACACTGCGTAGCTCGACGAAGCTCGAAGTGAACAGCTGCTGGTGAAAGTGGCTCAGAAGCCAACGTGGAACATTTGGACTTATAGGAAATCCCAAGCAAAGCTAGTGTGCGTCTGCAGCCTCCTGCTGTTTGGACAACATCTGCAGAGCTGGCCGCCGCGCCCGCCATGACTCACACCTCCGACAGATTCCCACCGCTCTGCAGGATCAGTGCGTGCATGTGCAGACTGAGCGCACAGGGCAGAAAGTCTGGGAACCTGACGCTGCCATGAACATTTATCATGTTAATAAAGTCGTGAGTATTGGTTTTCATTTAATGGAGCATCAACTATAATGATTTACTTTAACGCAAACACACGCTGTATGTTTACAAGAGTCATGACTGAAGAGTGTGGATCAGTTTCCTGAGGAGAAACTCGGGTAAAGTTCCTGGAAAAGTTGGAAACAGGCCGATGATGTTTGACCGAGCAAAGATCCAGAAAACTGATGTCAGAGGTTTTCTGTTCCTGCACAAACACTCTGGAAGCGTGTTCTCGAAAACTTTAAATTGACTTAAACTAAACATGTTCTAGAGACGCTTCCAGTGACTTCCACATGGAAAGAATTTAGTTTTTACAGTCACTGATCCCTGGAGAGTTTTCACTCTTCACCTGGATTCGTGGTGAATTTACTACTTTGATGCTCGTTCATGTGAATCCTCTAATTACAGAACTTATTCTCAAGTTTCCAGCTTCTCATTCGGAGCGCTCTCATCGTCCTCTGTCTCATTACACACTTCCTGTTTCCCACTTTAAAGCCCTGTGTGCGTTCAGGTGATGACACACATCTGTTTATTGTCTGCACACCTGTATACCCCCCCCCCCCTGTCATCTCCCGTCTTGTCATTACTGAGCTCGGCTCCCATGAGAACAGAGTCAGTGGCGGCTCACACGCTTCTCTGTCGTCTCTCACCGTTCTCCGACTGCCACCAGGTCTTGAGGCGGTTGTGAGCGAAGGTGGTGACCACGTTCTCGATCCCGTGGCTGACGGAGTTGGTGTCCTCGTCGAAGCTCTCGCTGGAGTCGCACACGAAACATTTCTTCTCCTCCTGGTGGACAGAGAGGGTTGAGGAGGGTTAAAGGCTCAGTGCACCCAAATGACAAATCAAACATTTACTCAACTAGTTCCTTTATTCATCAGTTTATCACAAAATAAAATACTGGAAATGTCCATTTTAATGTCCACAAGTGTAACTAAACACTAATAATACACAATATCACGTATATAATAACATAATATTGCAAATTCTCACAGTGTGGGACTAATACAGGATTATCTTATCTGATGTTGTCATATTTTAAGTTAATCTTAATGTTGCAGCAGATAATAATTGAAAACGTCTCATTACTGACAAATCAGTCTGTGGGCTCGAGATCCTGATTCATTCAGACCTGATCTAGAGTTTTCTTGCTCCTTAACCACTGTCGGAGTTTACAGACTCCATCAGGGAACGTTCCTGAGTTACCAAACTGCAACAAGTTGTTCCAAAGTCTTGTGCAAACCCTGAAACCAGAGAGGGCGGACGGTGGAGCGTCCACTTACTTTTGGCCGTGCAGTAGTCGTTAATGCAAGTGAAAAAAAACTCTGCGTAACTGAACTCAAATGAATAATTATCATGTTGCAGATGTGTCTGTTTAATAATGTTTTCACTGCCTCGTCTGCTCACCATATGGTTTGGCATGTACACAAGCTCTCTCTCACACACACACACACACACACACTTAAACCTCCCATTATCTCAGCGGGAGAATAAACAAGACGAGTTTCTCAGTTTCACGAGCCCCGGCCAAACATGTCTGTGTTGAAATGTGAGCAGCCTGTGTTCGAGCCCCTCGAGTGGGACTTCCTCTCCTCTGTATCTGCTGCTCATACTTGTTGACTGTGCTCATCCTCAGAGAGGCCCCACAGTGCGTCCGTCACTTCATAAGGACGCCATTCACTCGCAGAACTCACCAAAGGGTGTTTGATAAAAGGAGAATACCCCCCCACCACCACCACCACCACCACCACCTCGCCCCCTGCACAACAGGGCCGGGATTGTGAGCCGCACAGTGCTTTTATTGTGGAGGGGAATGCGTGCACTCCCACCAGAGCAGACAGCGAGCAGATACTGTACATGTGCAGACTCCCACAGACACAATGTCTCTGAGTTCTTCTGCTGCTTTGTCACTGACAGACTTGAACTCAAGCTGGTGAAGAGTTAAAATCATTTTCATCGTGGTGCCTGATGACTTTTCATGAGACATATATCATCACATCCTGCGTCCAGTCGCTCCTCTCTTACAGGAATTCATGAACGATAAGTCACCGCCATAAAAACGCCATGTTGAAGGTCGACAGGGCTTCTGCATTTTACATCGCGTCAAAAATATCCTTCACCGAGAACCGACCCACTTTGTGTTATCTGCAAATCACCCAATTTGTGTCTCGTGGTTCATGTGTTATAAAAATAAAGTTGCTAAATGATGCTGTTGGTCAAAACATGTTTTTTGTTGCTCTCGGCCTCAGAGGGAAGTTAGTGAGTTTTTAAATGTCTTCATCATCACAGCCTCGATTTGTTGAACTGCATTTTAAATACAAACGTAAGGACTGTTTCCATTTCACCAAGACAGGGTGCAGACACATTTTTCACATCGTTCTGGTCCCACTGGGGGAAATTGTGGCACCGAGACAACGAGGGAATCAAACCACAGGCACAAATGAGAAGTAAACAAAAAGCCGACTGTGTTAAATCTATCAAACGACAGCTCACATGTCTGTTGTTGGTCAGTTGAGTGAATTTAAAACATAATGGTTCTTGATCTTCAGGGAATAATAAATAACGCAGAGCTGCTTCAGGTGCAGTGTAAACGTCAGAGTCGTGTGTGTTGAGGTTTCTGTTGTGTTGGTGTGTGGGAGTGACCTGTGATTATTCCTATAAATCAAATAAAGAAGCTGTTGATCTATAATTGAGGGAAAACAACCGTCGGACCTCCTGATGATGAATTTCTGTTTTCAGCCCAAAATGAGGCCTCGAGGTTTTAAATCCAAACATCTGCCTCATAACTTCCATAGTTCAGCCTGATACCAGTGAGGCCCTCACTTACTCTCCTCAAATCCTGAGGTTTATTTTCTGTTCCAGGTTCCCACCAGTATCCTCCCTCCTTCTCCCTCTCCCTCCCTCTCTCTCCCTCTCTCTCTCTTACCTCCAGATGTCCGACGATGCAGAAGCGTTCCGGATGCTTCAGGCCGCAGGTGGAGGAGACGGAGAGTTTGTGCGCCCGGCCGATCAGCAGGTCGCCGGTGGCCGGGTAACAGCTGCCCTCCGTGCACACATCTGCAAACTCTGGTACCTGAGTCCCGACGGGACACAACAGGACTGCAGGGACGGAGAGAGAGAGAGTGAGAGAGGGGGAGAGAGGGGGAGAGAGGAGGGTGAGAGATTATACAAGACAAACATAGTCTCTCTAACTAGATGTTTTTTTGAATGTATAAGTAAAAGGATAGATACAAGGAGGATGGATAGAAGGATTTAAGGACAGATTGACAGTTTGAAGGATGGACATAAGGACACATAGATAGATAGATAGATATGAGGACAGACAGACAGATAGATAGATAGATAGATAGATATAAGGATTGACAGACAGACAGACAGATAGATAGATAGATAGATA